CACCGACTCATCAGGAGGCTGAACCCTCAACAGTCTGCAGAATCCCCTCACTGATTACACTGTAAATGATAATCTACCTTAACCAAAATCAAAGTAGACTATCACTCACCCACACCAGATGGAAAACTCTACAGACTGTCGGTTCATATATATATACATATATCGTCACGATATATATATATATATATATCGTCACAAACATAATTTGGACCATTTTTCGATTTATGCATGTCATCCTTGTACAGGGGCTGTCCATTCAAATTGGAACGATACAGAGAAGTTTATGGAATAGATTCAATAGAGTCTATACTTTCTTTAGACTTGATAAAATAAATAAAAGTGAGCTCGGATTGAAAAAAACTTAAAAAAAGTGAATTGCCTCATGGCAGTGGAAGTGGAAGTGGGCCCAACCTCCCTCATATCAATGACTGGAATCTGAGAGCTGAGCAAGGCTCTCCGGCCAGGTGAAGCCCCGATGGCAGTTTTCAGAACAAAAGAAGCATGAAGCAGTAGCTAAGAAAGCCCATAATGACCTGCAAGTTTTTTTCTTTCTCTTTTTTTTTTTTTTTTTTTTTTTTTTTTTTTCATAACAAGAAATGAAGTGCAAGTGCCAGTGGAACTATTTCTTCGCCCCGTGTTTTGAGAGAAGAATACAGCTTAGTTTTGAGAAACAAACAAACAGACAAACAAACAAACAAACGAGTTGGCGTTTCAGCGAAGCTTGACGCGCGGGGGGTGAATATGCCTCGTACAAAACAGGCTAGGGTGTACTGCTACCAATACGCCTGGACCCTGGCCACGCTGCCAAGCTTTGCCTAGCCACCATTGGCGCACTTCTTTTCTTTTTTTCGGCTTCCGCCGCCAGTCATTGTGGTCGGGTAGTCCTTACGCCGGGAGGGGGATATGCTAATCTTCTCTGCCTCATTCCAATTTTAAGTTTGAACAGCCGTTTCAGATTTACCTGTCATCTGCATATCTGAATTTTCAATATTTCCAGAGGCCAGTGCATAGTACATAGCGCAGAGTACATAGCACATAGTACATACTACATAACACATCATACATACCACATAGTTCAATAATGTATGAGACTGCACTATTACCTATGTACCATGTACTGTGAAGGTTCTCATGCCAACATGACAGGGGACTAGGAGAGAAGTATTTCCACCTTTTCTCTCTTTTTTTTTTTTTTTTAAAGCCCTTGTGTCAGCCCTCTATCCCAGCGGTGGTACGAGAACCGTCAGGATTGAGGGCTTTGACTGTTGGGCTGCTCCAATCTATTGGTGGGGAGCGGCACCTGCTGGAAACCGGGTCCAGCGTCCCATTGATACGTCTTCTAGCTCAGCCTTTTCTCAATTTCAATACAATAGACAGAGCAGTGACATAAGGTCGTTTTTTGCCCTCTCAATATTTCAGAAATTAAATAGAAAAGCAAGAAGTCCAAGAGCACAGAAAACGACAAGCATCCTCATACTCCATGCCTCCATTCATGACTGCATTCAAGAAACACAATCCTCAGGAGAACACTGCTCTGCAACATAATCCCTTACGAACACAACGCTCCGGAACACAATCCTCACGAGCACCATGCTCTTTACCATTCCAATGTTTTCATCATCCACCATCCCATGCAACCATGTGTTGGTGACTGATTCTCAAATCTCTCTCTCTCTCTCTCTCTCTCTCTCTCTCTCTCTCTCTCTCTCTCTCTCTCTCTCTCTCTCTCTCTCTCTCTCTCTGAGGCTTCCGTCCCTTCTCTCAATCAAGACTGTGCAATGGACTCTGAAGAGTCTGAACGCCATACGACTTTAATTAACAGGCTGCAACTTTTTTAAGTCCTTTACTCTGTGACTAGAGATAAGAACTGCCTAGCCTGGTAGTATCCTTAGCGGTCTAACCGCTATTCAATATTTTCCATATCAATCATGAATTTTCTTGTGACTAGAGATAAGAACTGCCCCTTCGCAGTTTATATATGCACGTTTAACACGCGTGTGGCTCAGACGTTAGTGCCCCCTCTCTGAAGGTAGAGGTACCTTCACCTTCTAGTCCCAGCACAGCTGTCTCTATGACGGTTCTCCGGCAAACCTTCTATGGTTATCCCCCTCCAATGTGCCCCTTTTGCGTCAATGCCCCCCCCCCCCCCCCCCCCCCCCCTCTCTTTAGTCTCCCCTTTTCTCTGGAGGAATTGCTACCTACCTTCTCGCCCCACCAGAGTCACCGGTGATAGGCCTCCAGTCGACTCTTCTTCTCCAGTTACCCCTCCTATGCTCCGCATTTTGCAGATGTGTCCCTCTACCCCACATCAGCCTATTGCTGAGGGGTAGAGGATCACATCACAGGTCGCTCTACAGGGCAGGCCAACACAAATGTTGACAAAAATATCGCCAGTCCCAACCGACACACGACTTTTTTTTTTTTTTTTTTTTTTTAAGGATCAGATATTAAACTGATCAGAACAGATACAGTGCACTTGATGGGGGAAGAATTGGACTCGTAAATTCGTAATCATCACGTTGGAACCTCCAACTAGCCTATTATAAAATGTTAATGAAAAAAATGGTAAAAAATAAGAAAAGTCAGAAAATATTAAAAAAGAAGTATATCAGTGTTTTCCCCTTTTAAGGGCAAACACTAGGAGATGTATTAAAAAAAAACTGTATTCTATTTATAGCCCTTGGAGGTTAACAACAACGTAGGTAGTCAGTTATGCATTTGTCGAGGCACACAGAGGGCGTTAACACTTTGTGGCAGCTGATGATTCTCACCTCTGAGAAAGTCCATTTTATTTGGTTTTATTAACTTTTTAAAACTTCTCTAGATGGAAAAGGCATTTCCGTCGAGAAAGAATGAACCATGCTGTCGAGGATGAGCTTGACGCTGCCAGCTGAAGTTGCCGTCTTATTTTCTCCGTACTGAGTGAACGACCCCTTCTTCTCCCTAAAACCATGCCCTGCTGCACTTCTCTCTATCTTCCCCCCTTCTTTTAACCCTCCCTCCTTTTCCAGGAGAGCAAAAAAATAATAATAATGGGTTCAGTAAGTATCCCAAGGGAATTTCATCATCAGACAATGCCACTGGCAGTAAATCACCAATCACCAAAAAAAAAAAAAAAAAAA